ATTTTAGGTATAGCATTGTAGTCTATTTATCTGCTTGTTTGCTAAAACTGATAGGAAGACCTGATACGAATTAACCTTGACAGACTTGAAAAAGGGGGTATAAAATCATAAAACTCCTATCTTTTATTATCTTTTTTATGAAAGTGTCATAATATCTCATATTTTGTCCCTAACAAACAAGAAAAGTTTCCACTAGTACGAGTCAGCATTCATTCCAAGTAATTTTAAAATCTGGTAAACATGAATGAGCACGATGTTTGTACTCTAATGGATATTTATATCTATAATGTGTATGTATTTAGAGTTATATAATATGTGTAGTGTATCAACTATCTGGTATCCATAACACAGGCCTCGTAGCTTACCATGAAACTAGATGGTGCTGTGTTAATGTCCTAACATATTTATTATTATTATTACAGATACAATATAGCAAATACCATAGAGCGAAAGGGCAATAAAATAAAACACAACACATCCAAAATTAAATAACTTCTTTTATTTCAGAGTCAAATCTGTTTCCTACATAAACGTGTTAGAATGACGCCGTATCATTAATTGACCATTACACTAATGGTACGCGTCGTGAGCTGTTACTTCTTGGTGCATGAGTGGATTATACTTATGCGTCACCGCGCGTCGGTCCGAGCGCTACGTCGAACATCCCAGCGAAAGTGCTTCATTATATACTCACTATACATATATATACATATTATTATCGGCAATAGCATACGAATAAAAACAGAGACAAAGCTTCATACAACTGCGCTTATGTGCGATGTGTTGACAGTATACCGATGACATGCGCATTGTTCGTTGACAAAACCGGCTTTTTCCGGTTCGAGCTGTTGCTAAACTCAGGTGGAACGCCTGTGTCTATAGTTGTAGTTCTTCGAAGCTTTGTCTCTGTAGAGATATTTACTCATATTGCGACAATCAACCTGCAATAGTCTTAAACCCATAAAAAACATATCGACGGTTATTATTCAAAAACATCCACTATTTTATTAGAATCTATTGTCGAAATTTTGACTCATTTACATGCGTTAAATATTTCATATTACAGAATAAAATAAATTTACATACAAAATAATTCCTATTAGAAAATAAAATAGGATGTTCAAAACAAGATGATAATCCTTATACCTCGTGCCGATAACTATTATATCGTATCGCTTACTTTACGGTCACTCTGTACTTTGAACCAACTTGCAACACTAAAAGGCAGTCAAGTAAAAGGCGCGAGCAAAATAGCTACTCTTTCTACTGTAAACACTTAAACACGACGTTCAGAGCTTTCATAAAGTTTAACTGTCTTTTCAAATATCCGATAACAAGAATATGACAATTTCGTTAAAACAAAAGCTATCTCTCGCTTGGGATGCGACATATGCGTCCGCATGCCTTATTCGCTAACATTCATGACGATTCACCGTATATTTATATCACAGTTACTCAATAAAGCGTTGTTTCATAACCAACGAGCTTCGTGAGACGCGGTGAGGGACCGACGCGCGATGTGAGGCGCACTTCACACAGCAATACACCGACGCTGTGGCGTAGTTAGGGAGTGTCACCCGTTAGGGGTGTCACCCGATTATGGGTGTTACCCTAATTGGGAGGGACACCCGTCTGTGGAAAACTTATGTTGGTGCTACACATACTTTTTTAATGTTTTTCACATACATAAAAGATGAGAATTCCCTTTTTTTTAAGAGTAAAACCATCGCCCCGTGTGTCACTCACACTATCTACGTCACTACAGTGTGTATGAACATTACTGCAAACAAACGTGCGGTAAATTGCCATATAAAGAGGCTCTTAGTCTACGCAGTTCTACGCCCGGTTGCTGTACCGAGTTATATAATATAATATTATATTTAATTATATTAGCTATGCAATTATGATCACAATACCCATGAACCAAACGACGCGATCCTGAACAATCTGCGATCTCCGTAGGCAATCTACAAACCACTAGCGAGGCGGAGGCCGCGACACGACGGTCGCAGTGCGACACGACAGTCGCAATGCGACGCGACAGTCGCGGCCGCGGCCTCCGGTCGACGCGTCTACTACGATCCAATGCCACAAACACCTAATTTTAATCAATAATCAACAATTATCGCCCAACTCTAACACTACACGCATTATTACGATATAATACCATCAAGTGGAAAAATAATTTTTGTTTCTCCATCGAAATCAACACAACATCTCCATGCTTTCGCATGGTTAAACAAAAATAAAAGGCAAGCCTCGGGGCCGGGGGCGAACCGCCTACAAGCGCCTTACGGCCACATCCTTCACACGAACTAACATACGATAATAATACAGTCCACTGTACACACTTCGTGCCTATATATAGTACATTTCAATGATTAACCACAAAAATGAAGTAATAAAGGCTGTATATACAATGAACGGTATTTATCATCTGTGTAATTTGTTAGTGATAAAGGGCGTAAAATTAAAATCGAATCCGGAACTCCCCCGACGCCGCGGCCTGTCCCCCGTATGCTTATAAGAACACTTCATAAACAGTTTTCTTTATACACTACACAATTTACATTTTATAATAGGTTTACATTTTTACACAGCAATAATAATTGTTTTGTAGACTTCATTATAATATACTCTATATAGTATCGATTGCTAAATATTGTCGCATATCAAGCAGATGGACACCGCATGCTTCTGGTGTCTGAATACTTTAAATTCACAGAACACTAAGTTAACCACCAAAATCGCGTCATATCATCTAAAAGAAATTAAATTACGATAAAAAAAAACATTGCAACAAATATTAATAGTTTTAGAACATCTCGTTAGTAACGGGTTTAGAGTTGGCGAGAAACCGATGCTAAAACTATTACAATAACTACGTTAAATCAATTTCAACACATCCACAAACACTGTGTTCGGTGAGTTCACACTCGACGGTGAACTAAGAACATGAATCAATTCAAAGACTTCAAAAAAAAACAAAACAAATAAATCTATAAATGCCGACAATATTGTCTTTTGTCTGGAATGACACTAAAGAGATACTACCAAAAGAATTTCAAGTTAACTTCTACTATAAATACGTTAGAATTTCGCCTCTATACAACGCGTTAGTAAAAAAAAATTGTTTAGAAAAAAAAATTATGGCAAAATATTGGCGAAGTGTAGCGCAAACTCTCCACGAATACCCAACGAGGTGAAACAGACGACGAAATCGCCAAAATAAAACTATATAGAAACATTTAATTTTCTAATACAAATAAAAATTAACTTTAACTTCGATTGATTCATCGCAAAAAGAGAATTATTTACATTCATGATTCACATATTAACCGCTGGGTGACATTTGCTTGTGATGCCATCTTTTTACATAGAAATTGTTATTAGGGCAGCTATAGTAAGAATTTTTTTTTTGGTAAATAATGTTAGTCTGAACTATAATAGAGTTATTCTGACTGTGATAATATCATTTTAGTAAAACTTATTACTTGTTTTTTCGACATTCTTTTGTAAAAAAAAAAGAATATTCTGCCCGTTCTACAAATGATAAATGTAAACGTATAGTAACTGCCATAACATTAAACTACTAGATTAGCAAAAACTAACGTGAATTAAATATGAACCACCCAGAGATCTCAGTTGCGCCATAATCTATGGTAGCTAAAGCGGACAAACGGTATTCATACAATAAAAACATTACTTTGCAAAAGATCGATATATTAAGGTCACTAGAAGACGGATTGTGGATAGAATTTGTTCGATCAACATCACAGTTGTAATTGACACTCGCAATCGATTTTGAATATCAATATAAAGATTGTTCTAGAAGAAACAGCAATATATCGATATGAAATGTATCGAAAGAAAAAAAAACAGATTCAGATTGCAGTAGTTATATAGTACTGAATATAAGATTTAACTATTTTCACTCGATCTAGAATATTCGATAGCGAATGCGAATTACAACCGCAAGGGAGACTATAAATATCTTATAATATTATGGTTTAGAATTAATATGCGACGGTTACATTTCGCTGTGGTCGAAAAATATATTTTTAAAAACGCTCGCTACACGCAAATGGCTAAATTCAAAGCGCATCGGACTTCACATACAATACTCGATTTATACTGAAAAATTCACATTATTGCGTCAATCATAAGATATTTCCGAAACCTATTACTATATTGACAGCTATACGTCAGAACCGTAACCGCTAACAATTAAACTTTACAAAACAAAGAAAAAAAATTAAAACCAATAAAACAACTAATATATATAAAAAAACGAATTTTTAAATATTTAAAATGTAAAAAATAAGCTTTACAGTTCTGTGTATAGCTTACAACACTAGTCAGTGTCAGCACATGTAACAAACATTTAGAACTTTGTCGCATTCACTTGGAACATATTAATAATGTATCTGTAGGGACTTAAATGTAAAAGTTAGTGTGATACAGTTCCAAGTGTCATGTCGCTGACACAAACTATATTCAGTGGTCCACTTGTTGGTGAATGAAAAATGGTAAAATCCTTAGTTTAGATACATAAGCCACTGACCACAGATTTAATACTATAATGCAGGAATATTAGCCACTATGTTAATTAAGGTAACAAAATATAATTTAAAGTCCGTCGTGTCGCGTCTTGCTGCGACCGCGACATCGCACGATAATGACAACTCGCTTAATATAATTTAGAATATAATTTGTTACAATGGTCTCGTTATCAATTAATATTACAATATACATACATAATTATTGAACTCGTATAGATCATTCATTTACTACGTGAACAGTTTCAAACAAAATCAATATGACAAAAAATCTATTAAAACATAATATTACACACAGGAATGATCTATACACTAATTTAAGCTACTAAATCGATGAAAACAAACTATCAATTAGAGCAACTATATCATTATCGGTCGAGTCGGCGCTAGTGCTGACGACGCGACGTCACCGCGCGGCGCCGGGCGGCCACGTTGATATTATAGGTCCCTGTATATGAAAAAATATATTTTATAAATATAAACGTAATTATATCAATTAAATTATAATTTAAATGCAATTTAATAAAATTATTTTAAATATATATGTTTAGCTTTTAATTAAATACACAATATACAGTTGTGTAATATTTAAAATAAATTAATTGCAATAAATATAAACGTAATTTATGAATAAAAACTTAATGTAAAACTCAATTATACATAAACTTACGTTCCCATACCCAATAATTCCACCTTACAACATAAAAACAAAAACAAAACAAACATGCAATACTCACAAGTGACGTGAAGCTAAATCACAAAATGGAACAAAAGGACGATAAATACATTATATATTATGAGACAATAACAATGAATACGACACGTCGGATGCGTACCTACCTCATCCAGTGCTGCGAGTTGTGCGGCGACGCCTGGTGCGACTGCGTGGCCACCCTCTGCACCACCTGCGTACATGCAAATAATTTATCTATACTAATATTATAAAGAGGAAAGATTTGTTCGTCTGTTTGTAATGAATAGGCTCCGAAATGACTGAACCGATTTAGAAGAAATTCAGAAAGAACATAGTTTGAGACCCTAGGAAGAACATAGGATACTTTTTATCCAGGAAATCATCCCTTAAGGGGGTGAAAATGGGCATGAAAGTTTGTATTGGGACGCAAGCTAGAGAGCCACGAATGAAAAAAAAATGAGTCGCCGGTATTATATATAGGTAAAGACAACCCACACAGTACACACCTGCTGTACGAAGGCGCGCGTGAGGTGCGGCGCGGAGCGCTCGGCCGCGTCGAAGGCGCGCCGCAGCTCCTCTATGGCGGCCGCGCTGCCCGCGCCGTGCTTGCGCGACAGCTGCCATATACATACAATATAAATAATATTATACACGAAATCATTTTTTATATCAGTACTGTATTCGCCGAATGAACCAAGCACTGAGATTTTACGCTTCCACGTGATTAGTTGCAGATAAGACGCTTAGGCCACGATTACAATGCAAGCCATAATTAGTCCGTCGTTGCATTCCGTACCGTTCAGACGTCTCTCGTGTAGTTACCTGATTTATTATCAATGTAGGAGATAATAATGATACGTCGGAAACCGAAAATTAATAAAATATAATGTATACAAATATTTAAAAATACAGTTAATTTTACTTAAATGATGATTTTATTTGTATGTCGGTTTTACTTTATTACAAATTATTAATAATTCCTCACTAAAGCATTAGCAACATGAACGAGCCCTATGATTTCAAACCAGATGCAAGTGTTAATGGGTGGAGCTAGACAGTTTTCTGTCCTTATCAGTTTGTATGCTAATGTGGGATCAAGAAAGCGCTTTGGATGTTACACTCCGGGAATATAGTTTCTTAAATTTTTTTAATGAAATATATTAAAAGCATGTGAGATAAAAATTAAAACAAATAACTCAAAAACAAATAATTAATTAATTTAAAGTATTATTTTAATAGTTTGTAAAATGTTTAAAAAGGGTACATAAAATCGGCTAAAATTATAATTTATCAATACGATTAAAGCCACAAATTACCTCATTTAGTAGCGGGTAGATGAGTTGCTGCAGATACGCGTGCCGTCTCATTTTGTTCTCTTCATTGTTCGCCCCTCTGTGGTCTAACGGCGATGACTGGCGAAATATAATGTATTATAAAACAATTTCTAGTAAAACTATGTATTAGATATAAGAGAAAATTATATATTTTAAAATTTTATACAGGTATGTTTTACATATAAGAATAAAAACCGTTGGCACATTCTTTTTTATATTTAAAATTTTTATACCCTTATCTTTTGTTCTAACGGAAGTTTGAAACTATGTTTTCAGAAATATTTTTTTAAACTACCTATGTTTGTTTATTTAAATAAACAACTTACTGAGCAGCATCTAAGTTCTAGCTAGACCTCCGACTAAAGCCGAATGCGAATGCTATAACCTACAGCGTATCAACAATAGAGTGGTGCGAAAAAAATTTTTTTTTTAAAAGCTACAATTTCTATCCCCAAGATAAAAAATGTTTTTTTAATGATAAAAAAAGAATGTAAACAATGGATGTCTGTAATTTTTCGTAGGTAGCATTTGATTTACATATTTTATCTAGTGTAACTTACCATCGAAAAATAAACTTAATATTATAAACATATTATAGAATAGATCAACTCCGGTTAATTAAATTACATATTAATTTGAGAACATTAAAACTTAAAATCAAATTTCAAACAGTAAATTGACGCCATCTGAACTAGATCTCAACATCCAACTCTCTCAATTGTAATAAATAAGTAAAAAAGCATTTAAAGAAAAAAAACAAGCAAATAAACAAACATAACTCACAGCTTTATTATTATAGACTACGCTGTCTCTATTTGAAGGCTCCCTATCTTTCCGGTCGTCGCGGTCGCGGTCGCGGTCGCGCTCCTTGCTCCGCTGCTCTACCGGCGTCGACACTATCGGGGATTGTCTCTGCTGTAAATATAATAACACAATTATGAGTCATTTCTTTTAAGTTGTTGTGTATAAAAAATATATATTTAATATAATAAATTTAAGTTGAAAGTTATCAAATTATAAATGTGAAAGTTTGTGAGCATCTATGGATGTTTGTTACATTTTCACGCCCGAACGGCTGAACGGATCTGGATGAAATTTGACTCAGAGATTCTTTTTATTCCGGAAAAATGTACGGTTCCCGTGGGATAGGTTTGTTGTTAATATTATATTTTTTATAAGTATTGTGAAAACTCTTAATTCCCTTTAGAAAACATCTGTGACTTCTTCGACGTTTAATAATGTCTTCTAAAGCGATTTCGGTTACGGCGGCCAATCTCAAACCCAGCAACTATTTAGAGCCGGGACCCGTGCAAGCACGCCACTAGACCATCGACAATAATACAAGTCACAAAAGTACTTGTAATAAATCTAATTCAATAAAGTGTAATTTCATTCATTCATTCACAGTATATGTCAGAGAGTACAGTGTCAGAGAGTCAGATAGAAGTGTCGAACCGAAACCAACGCATAAATAAAACAAACTGAAAATATAGTGTATAAATATCAGCTCTGTCAACTAATCCATACAATCGTCTAACGAAAGCCTATAAAACAGGGCTATCGTTCAGGGCATGCAAGAGAATTGAATTTATTGACAATCCATGCATTTGGTGAGATCGGTTTATTGAGATAGATTAGAGGGTCTACTGTGTGGACTTTTATACTATGGTATTAGGACATGCTAGGCAGTGGTGCCCAGTGGTAGCACGCTTGCTTGGGAAACCGAGTGAAGCGGGTTCAAATCCCGAGTCTCGCACCTCTGATATTTTCATGTGCGAATCATTTCCAACATGATTACAATTTGTCTTAACGGTGAAGAAAAAGATCGTGAGGAAAGCTGCATGTCTGAGAGAACCTAGCAAGTCCACCAACGCACACTTGGCCAGCGTTGTGGACTATAGCCTGATCCCCCTCGTATTGGGGAGGCCCGTGCCCAGCAGTGGGACGTTAAAAAGGCCTAAATACATTAGGACATTAGTGTGATATATACAGATAGTTCACTCACTGGTTTGTCTGTGGTGTTGTTATTTAGAGGCGCGGGCTTGTGGTTGTCGGCGGGCGAGTCGTCGCGGGTTAGCGAGCCGTTCTGCTTCGACACCGGCGACGTAGGCGATGGGATCACTTGAAATGGAACACATAATGGTTGATTATTTAAATTATCTAATCTATATATATAAATATAAAACAAAGTCGGGTTTGTTACAACACTTATAACTCGAGAACTGCTAGACCGATTTTCATGGATTTTGATCTTTTGGATTTGTCTCCGTCTCGAATAGCAGAATAACTATTAAAACATCAGAAAAATTCACGAAAAAAAAAGTTATATGGCTAACGCTGGCTAATATTAATATTAACAAACTAACTAAATTTAACTATTCATATCTATTTTAACTATACCTAGGGACGAACCCGGGCATAACGAGGGTGAGCCGCTAGTTATCTAATAAAGTGTACTTTGCTCCAGGGAGCTTGTACATTCAAACTCTTGTACATTAAATGCTCAATGTTGCTCTTGCTCCATAATTTATTCATTCGTAGCAGATCCGTCAAAATATGGAAAATCAATAAAAAAAAACGCCGCGACCGAAATTACTAGATAGATATTATTATTATTCATAAATACACAAAAATATTAATAATCTATAATAATAATAATACTTACATGCTTATCGAACACAAAATGTTAACAAACTCACTGCGTAACCTAAAACGCATTCTAATATTACAGACAGACCCATACGAAGCTAATCTCATCTTTTACACATATTTATACGTAAAATAAAATAACACAAACTTGTTGTGTAAGTAAATATCTATACTAATATTACAAAGAGGTAAGAGGTAGAGGTAAGGTATGAAACTATTCATTCAATTCTGAAAATTGTTTAATTAATAGGAAACAAGAGTACATTACAGAGCTGCGTGATAAAAATCTTTTTTATTTCGATAAAAATATGTCATAAATAAATGATATAACCAAAATAACTTTAATTAAAATCGGGAAAACACGTGGCTGTTGATTTGTTTTATCAGCGTGCGCTGCCTAATTAGTGTGAAATAAAGCAATAGATTGTATAGAAAAGAGAAGCCTCGAAGCGCAAGTCACCTATATAAATAAAAATTAATATTCGTATGTTTGTCCTCTATGAGTTCCTAAACCATTGATCCGATTGTGATGAAACCCTGGTAAGTTAGTCTGTATACGCTTGCGAAGGTACTTGGCGCAAAAATAACTTTGAAAGTTTGTCTTTTGTGCATTCCTAAATGGTAAACCATTCAAGCTTAGGAATGCACCCGACCGAAGCGAGGGTATGTCGCTAGTCTATACTAATATTATAAAGAGGTAAAGTTTGTGAGTTTGTGAAGTCGTGACGTTTTAGAGGGTAATCTCCGGAACTACTGAACCGATTTAGATGAAATTTGGTAAGAAAGATAAGATAGTTTGAGACCCTGGGAAAGACATAGGATACATTTTATCCCGGAAATCATCCCTTAAGGGTGTGAAAATGGGGATGAAAGTTTGTATGGGGAATCGACCTAGGGACGAACCCGAGCGAAGCGAGGTTAAGTCGCTAGTATATTATAATTACCGGCATCATCATGCAGGGTGCGACGTTTGTCCTCAGCCATGTGCGCGTGCAGTGACACCGGCAGCTGCGACGCCCGCGCGCCCGCTCCGCCACGCACCGTCATGATCCACGGCTCGTCCGCCTCACTATCACCACGACTGCATTCCTCTCTGTTAAAAGTATTATAATATGATAATAATTACTACCATTTTTTTATTATAATAAAAAACATTAAACCTTATTTATCTTTATAAATTATAAATAAGATCAATCTACTAAATTGTGTCTTTTAAAAAATATTTATATTTGAACTGACGAATCTAGCAATTCTTAGTAGTTCGATCCTTTTGTGATTCGCAAAATCACGCGATACGATGATCACGCCAACATAGGTCGCGCCATTTAACCGCTTATCCTTGATACAAATACTCATGAATGAGTCAGAACACTGGATACAATTACGATTAATAGCAGTCGAAATTAATTTATGTATTCGCTAAGTAAATAATGCCAGTTGTAAATGTTTTACGGCGGCTCTATCACAAAATTTATGTGTAAATATTTGGTATAGTTTTTGCGACGTTGCATCTCTACATAAGGGAAAATTTACAAAAACAAAAGAAAAATATTTTTCATTGATTATTCTTATTATTAAAGTGCTTGTGGAGCTTTCGATGCAAAATGAAAGTACATTTATTATTTTCCATGTCACAATACACCGAGAAATACTGATGTTTTGAGACTCAGATAAATCAATGTTTTGTTTACTAATAGATTGGACTGAGTTTGAATAAAAATTAAAATATAAACAAAACGAATATAATGTCACAATAACATAGTTTTCTAATAACGAAAAAAACATAACAAATAAAAATAATTAATATATCGCATTGATAACTTATTATATACCCAGGAAAATTCTCGTTTCTAATGAAAAATTATATCAAAACCTAATATATACATAAATATTGCATTACTTACGAATCTGAATTTTCCGATTCCGTTTCGCTCTCCTCGCTCCTCTGCGCTTTCCATTTCTTATACCTATCTATAAGATCCATTAAATACGAATTCTTTTTGGCCTTTCTGATGAATTGAAACTTTAACAACTCCTTCGCTGTTGGCCTCTGAAATTCAATAACAAACAGTTAAATTAAGAATAGTCAAATTAATTATTGTAACTAACTAATAATTATTGTAACTAATTAGAATATTAATTAATTAATATACTTATAATTTATAATGTACTATTAAATTTTTATATATTTTCTTTAAAAAAGTACTACTATAATATATGTATAATCCACGAAGAGTATATAAGATCGATACTTAAGCTTCCATCCAATGATATGTGTATAAAAAGAAAAATAAACCCTGTTGTAAAAGGCAATACATTGCAAGGCAATAATCGTAATACATTGTCATTCAGACGTACAATCAATCACTTTCGACAGCACTTACATTTTCGGGATCCTTATTCAGGCACGCCTCGACGAACTCTTTGAAAGGCTTCGAATAACTGCCGGTCAGCTGTGGAGGGTTGTTTTTGGGTATAAGAAATAGAACTCTCATAGGGTGAAGTTCGGAATTAGGTGGTTCGCCTTTAGCCAACTCTATAGCGGTTATACCGAGTGACCATATGTCAGCTTTGCTGTCGTAGCACGATTGCTTGATAACTTCTGGCGCCATCCAGAATGGCGTACCGACAAATGTGTTACGTTTGCTCGTCGTGTTTGTTAATTGCCCGGCGACCCCTGAAAATATAAATTGAAACATATTAAACGATATTTTAATAAAAATTGATAAATATTGTAATTACTATACGAATTTTCATACCAATTTCTTACCAATAGAAAGAGAGGTATTCTAGGAAAGTTATAATTTAGAAAATAATCTATATAAATATAATATAAAAAATCGCCTCTTTTAGGAACGCGCCCGAGGGCAGCGATATTAGCCACTAGTCATTGATAAATAACAACTGATGGCTTATAATGATTGTTTAACATTATTAAATATTATTTATTATAAATATTTAAGTATAGCCCAAACAATAGCGACCCATTTCAGAATAACAATAGTCGTCCTATTTTTAGTATTTTGTATTGCATGACCGACCAAAATGGTGCACGCACGCTAAAACGGTAACTAAATTTCTATTATTAGTTATTACCGTACGATACAGCGATTATAGAATGAAATATTCTTAAAGGAACAAGACCACTTTGGCAATCGTCCTTCACGTCTTGTTCAGACTTGATGGCACTCTGAATGTCTCACTTCCTCTCGACGTAATATAATAAGTCAGTGAAAATATACACTGCGTTTTACGTCACCAGCGACAACTCAAGAACATTCAACGTTGACTGCCAGAGCAGTACACAAAGAAGGCGCAAATGGTTCAAATATTGAATGTTGGCGTTAGGCCAGCCTTTATACATGAGATTTACTTAGGGTGCTATTTGATTTTAGATCTTGGCTACTTGTGTATTTCGTGCATTATGTAATCATATAATATTGGGCATATTATGTAATACAAAATCCTATCGATACTTAGTAGGTATAATGACTCTGGTAACTGGTACTGCTACTATTCAGACTAAAGGTTCGATTCCTGCACAAGGCAAAAACTAGCGATTTTTTGGGCACCGCGACCCAACCGTCTTAATGAAGTGATATTCTACCGGTTTTTAGTCTGCCTTATAAGAGAAAAAAGTAAAAATACGAATACACCAGATATATTAAATTGTTATTCATTTCAATGTACCTATTTAAAAATATTTTCAATATACAATCATTTTACAACATCATTTAAAGCTTTGTCACTAAAAATGTATACAAATTGACTTTTATATTTCTTCACATCACACATGTCGCATACATGCATAAATAATGAAAATACGTATACAAAATTATATCATCTAATTTTATGTTAATTTTATGTGTGACAAATAAATATTTAAGACCTCACTCACTTCTGCATCTCATCCACCACCAAATCTAACTTAGCCTATTACCAAATATTGTGAGTAAAAATATGTAAAATTATATTAAATTTACTAATAAACATGTATTTTATATATCTACATACAATCTACAAAAAACGTTTGTATGTAAGTGTATGTATGTATTCAGCCCTTTTTAACGTCCCACTGCTGGCTACGGACATCCCTTCGGTACGAGCGAGGGGAATCAGGCCATAGTCCACCACGCTGGCCAAGAATAATAAAAAAAAACATTTAGGTATATAAAAAGGAAAATTACACATAGTTTTTATGTCGTGTTACTACTCGACCATTATTGCCAACTTATATAAATTAAGTAAACAAAACTATCGTGTACATAACGTATGTACTTACCTACGAGTATAACACAACAAGCTACTCATTTCATTAAGATTGTCGTTGTAGTGACGTGTCTGCTTATGATAGTGAAGATAACACTGAGCTGACTCATTGTTTGTTTCCTAATTTCAGTACAGATATGAATATTCCGATTATATCGATTATACGATTATATTTTTCTACAAATGTGAAATAGTAGAAAAAAACTCTAATACTAACTTTTACCTTTTATATTTATAAAGAAAATTTATATAAATCAGTATCTAACAAATTCTAGCTATATATTATTCTACTATAATATACTACGAGTACAAGGTTAATGTCACATTAATTATCATAATATAATTCCTAAGATTATAACGTAATGCTTATACAAATATCGATCGAAAAAGCACCTTCGAGGGTGTTAATATACTGTTACACAATTAAACTATCTTTGCAATGGACTCTTCGCGGTTTAATAAGGACAGAGTGCGTCCTCCATCACAGCTGTCAGTTAGTGTATTAGCCATGTTACGAACACGTCACGTGTACCTAATCACCTAATACATAAATACACAACACTCAAAGATACCGTAAAGGTAATTTGCTCAATATAATAACAAAGTCATAATTGAAATCAAGTAAAATTTCAACTACTGTTTCAATTGTAATATAAACTTATTATAATTAAATTGCCGGTATTCCATATAAATATATAAATACTACACGATACTAGATACTTTATAGTACAGAAATTTGCTGTTTTAGCTGCAAATATTAAGAGCAAATATTGACGATATTACACTCAAGGCTAATGTTAACGACTGTTTGATATCTAACCGTAAAAATGTGTTTCTTTACACAAAACAATCAAATAATTTAGGTAAGGCTAAAATAATTTTGTATTAATTTGTATCTAATAATATTATAATTATCCATAAGTATAATTATGCGAGGATATGCAATGCAATATTAAAATACCAAGCTGAAACATGAAACATTACTTGTTTAATTCAGAGAACTTTAATGGAAAAATAAAATGTATCTCGAAGTTCTCCTCAAGGGACCTAAGCTTAATTACCTTGTTGGAACTGTATGAAAAAGTTTAAATTTTGTAACGTTACGGGGGGGAAAAAACGTAGAAGTTAAAAGCTTTGTGAAAGATATTTTTATACATATTATAGTGGATTAATTAAAATAGATAGGAATCTCAAATGTTCCATGTAAGTACGTTGAATATAGTCTGCAAAGTCTTCTCTAACCGCTGCAAGACACGCAATAAAAACACGCTCACGTCCGATATCGAATCCCTGTACAAAACCAATATTGCTGTCGTAAGGGAACTTTTCAGAAAAATGTGGGCGATAATCCATGTTTCCTACGTTTATAGAATTACAAATATCATCTACTTTTTGGATATAGCAAATAGAATTGCAATTTGTCTAGTCAGTCAATGTGTCGTTATTGATTAAGTTTACTTTTTAATCAATTACTAGCATTGCCCGCGGCTCCGCTCGCGTTCAGATGACCAAAAACCAAATTCTTAGGTTTCACATATTAGTATACTTTTATATTGCAGTTTTTGTATTTTTTCTCAGAAATGAGACATTTTCCCGCAGTGAAAAATATCTTATATGCTGACCCGGATAACCAACTATCACCATACCACATTTCATCAAAATCCCTCCACTGGGTTTTCTGTGATGCGGTAACAGACACAGACAGACAGACAGACAAAAATTCTAAAAACTATAGATTCGCCCTCTATATCGATAATAATGTCTATTTCAATAAAATTTTCCACAAAATATTTAATGTACAGATTCGACTGAGTTACAAGTTTATTATATGTATAGATTTTACGCTGTCATACATGATGTCGTCAGTATTAACTATACATAACTAAAATTTTAGTAACGTATTAAATTATAGCTACTTCTAAGTTTAAGAAATATAGTGGAATAATACTAATAATTCAAAGAATAAATTAGATGATGTAAGATGATGAACGGCAGCTTAAACTAATCTCGCAATCACTTATGTAAGCTTTTTGATAATGATGATTTTAAATTAGCGCCGAGAAGATTGACTTATGTAATAAAACGGTAAAATTTTCAAAATATAATGAGCAATCCCACGTAGAAATTAAATGTTGCCAACGTCGTTGCATTGTTGCATGAATAAACAATCGATGACTGCAGCGTTCTGTTATTTCAATCTATTTGATGTTAATCACTAACTTGCATATTTAAAAAGGTTAATTAAAATAAACATAAATATGACAAAACTTCCTTGTACATTAACAGATAAATAATAGTATAGAATGGTGATAATAGATATAGGTGTTGTTATATTATGATTTATACGAAAAAAAATCATTATTCATACTTAAAATGATCTAAAACGCATAGATGTACATAAAATAGAAATCATGTCCATTTTTAGATTTTTATGTGTATGTGACTGCAGTGCGTATGTATATATACAATATATACAATGGTATCTAGTCTATACGGTTTGCGGTTTCAATTCCGCCAGTAGTAAATACATATACGAATGCACAACAAATGCTTGTTGCGGTACGGTTACATTATCTACATTCCCGTTACTGTTATGCATGAAAGAGGAGAAAGTGTCCTTGTTTGGCAACCTAATTTCTAATATTTAACCTGTGAATGTGTAAACGAGTAATCTACATGTAAATAAATCTGATATGATGCTCATTGGTAAACATATTTACTTGAGGACAGCCTGATTGGACCTTTTTGAAAAATGTTTCTCATAGTCCGAATAAGGTGTGTGGGGGTAGGAAAATGAAGAAGTTCAAGAAAAAGTGAAAGTGCTTTTTCCTATAAGATTTTTGTGGGACATCAAAAGTTACCAAGCAAATTAATTAAAATTTAAATAAGATAACGTCTGTCGAGTCAGCCAGTAATAAATAAAAATATATTGCATGCGTACGTAGATATATACCTATATATTTAATATACAGAACACGATTCAAACCGCTTTCAAATCAAATTTTGTACAAGCTCTACAATTTAAAAAAACCTACCGAAATCTGCTAGTTTGACGTCTCCCATTTCACTCAGGAGGACATTGGCTGCCTTTATATCCCTGTGCAGCTTCCTCTCTGAGTGCAGGTAGTCGAGGCCACGTAGTACTTCTCGCAAGATCACTGCGATGTGCATCTCTTCGAAGTTGCCTGCCTTCATAAGGTCTAGGGCTGACCCCCCGCCAAGATACTCCATAATAATCCATAATTTTGTTCCCTGCAAAATAAAAAACATTTATCTATACTAATATTATAAAGAAGTAAAGTTTGTGAGATTGTGAGTTTGTGGCATTGAAGGGGGTAATCTCTGGATCTACTGAACCGATTTAGATGAAATTGAATGATGGTAAGAAGTTAGTTTGAGACCCTGGGAAGGACACAGGATACTTTTCATCCCGGAAATCATCCTTAAAGAGGTGAAAGTGGGGATGAAAGTTTGTACGGAGAATGAAGCTAGGGACTAATCCGAGCGAAGCGAGGGTGAGTCGCCAGTATTAAATAAATTCAAAACCTAATAATTATAAAATATTCCAGCGCGTATTGATAATCTTCTCAAACTGTCAATGATATTATATTATAATATAGTTTAATCGCGCAATAATTTAACAACTGACGATCGAGTTATCATTCATAGTACGCGCATTAACCTTGACATTTTCACGAGTTACTCGCGTAAATGCCACAGACGCCCTTGTTAGCAAGAATTTAATATTATATCCATCCTATATAGTCGTATTAGTGACACCAAAAAAATTTGAATGCCAGCGTCTATAAATAGAACTTGAGCTGTAGGTGAGATTTAATATCCATAAAGGTATGTTTATATCTATTAAACATTACTACACTTTATACTATTAATTCACAACTAAACTCTAACTGGACGTAACATAAGATACAAGTTATTGGTTCAGTTATTGAGTCTTGTTACTCTTATACCTCTATTCATAAATCAAAACTTTATTATGAAAAAGCACCGCCGCACCGCTACATATTACCTATATGTTTTCTTTATCTTTTATTTTACGAATAGTAATTTATAACATCGATTTCAACTCCTGCCGTAGGTATATGGCTCGTAAATCTTTCCGATTCGGAGCCAAAACCCGCGGGAGACAATAAAAGAAGCGGGAGCGCCACGGGGCGTTGGCTGGTTAAAGTTATGAATTTTATCTCATGGCTGATACCATGGTACGTGGTGCCGGGTAATGTAATGTGAGGCGGAAGACGACAATGGGAGCAACGGGCCGCGGATCCGGTGCGCCGTTCACGCTCCATCTGCTGATGTTATAGGGTTATAATATTACGCTTAGGTAACACAAAGTATTATGTCAAAATACCTATAATACGGCATGTATAAAATATTTATGGTATCAATAAGAGTATTAGTACCATATTTTATGATCAAAAAAAACATAGGTATCTAAAAAACAAGACACCTATTACAGTTATAAAAATTACTATAGCATTGCCAATACGTTTTCGATTCCTTAATGAGATTAAGCGTGAACGACGCAACACACATTGCCGTATTGAGGCTGTCGCCATGCGGCGTGTTTCAACGAAAGGCGGAATTATTTTATTATCCTTACCCAAACCGGTAAACTGAACCGAATGATTATAGCTCACCATTTTTAAATATGTACCTAATTTGTATTAAGTATTGAACAAAAACCATAGCTCTAGTAATCTAGTAACTCTATCACGCTATTTTTGGAATTATACCAAATGAGAATTCATGCACCTACTACTAGGTCTAGGTACTGATTACTAGGTCAAAATACAAACAGACAGGGTGGAATAACTGCATTTATTTTTTTGAAAAAAGCTTACCTGAACCAGGAATTGAACCAAATAAAAATACAAAAAAGGACACCGTGACTATTTTATCGAATTAATCGGTATGGTCTATGGGAAGGATAAAATCTCTCGAACAAACATTGTGTCTTAGAATTGAAGAAAATGATGAAATCTTACAGATTATACATATCGCCTCTAACATCGTGGAACAAACGCACAGGTCATGCAAGAAAAACGTTTTAAACACTGAAAGTATTAAGTTTCACTCAAAGGAAACATTATTTTATATTTTAGTAGAGCGCCGTAAGGCATAAGGCAATTGTAAAATCTCGGCATACGGGGAAAGTCAATGCATCTTCATAAAAACTGTTCGACTGCATTGTTAAAGGCTCAAATAAAAAAGTTTAAAAATAATAACTGTGCGATCTTGGGTACAACAGTTGATAAAAACAATTTATTAAAAGATGAGAGGGACAAGGGGGGAAAATGTTTACAGTAAAGATTTCAATTTTATATCTAAAACATAATAATGTCTTATACCTAAAAATATATATTTGTGTAGTAAGTGTAATGTAATTTATTAATATTTCGCAAAAAATAACAAATTAAAAAAAAATATTTTCAACTAACAAGGTTCTATCAAGTCGCCCTTAGAAATTTATTTGGCTAACGCTGACTAAACCTTAAGAGATATATCAAAATAATTTAGTAGAAAATTGTAGATCTTATAAAGATCTACAAAAAAGTCCACAACAGTATCGATGAATGAATCAATCGATGTGCGCAGTTCACGCAAAGAGTACTGAACCGATTTTAACTAAATTTTGTGTAATGGTAACTTATTACTCGGGTCCGTATGTCCATAGAATTATGCGCACGCTCGTGTAGATTTCTTACATACTGTATTATGTACTGAACATCATCAAACGTACGATAGGTGGCGCGCAATTTATCTTAAAATAACGGCTACTAAAGTAAAGCCAGATCTGGTCGCTAGTTACTTAAATATGACTAAATAAACTAACACAAATCCAATCGTAAACGTTACCACTTCATTAACTCGTATTTTGTACGCTTATAAAAATATTCTCGCGTCAGAACAAATCTAAAGTATTGTTTGAATAGGACAAAGCGAAAACGAGTTAATCAAACTTGTTGTGAAAAAGGATCTCCAACTAAGTTTTGGGTAGAAACATTTGCTTTGAAAATGCGCTAACAAAATTCACCACATCGAAAGCAGTAACCGCACGTATCCTGTAATGTTCCAGGAACACCATTATTATAGAAGATAAGTGCTTTATATGAGATAAGGAAAACAAGATAAATAAATTCATTTCGTATAATTTTGCCACAAGAGACAAATCAACACCATTTTATACGTCAGTATAATTAATGTTGTTACATAAACAGACCGATTTTATCAAAACATAATTATTTCATTCCATAAAATTATAATACGTTTAACTTGCAAAATTGAACATCTATAAAAGCAATAAAAATATGATGATTAGATACAAAAAAAATCATTTTTTTTATTACATTTTTTGTATCTAGGTGTACGCTATTACCCAGATGGCAGACAGTGAGAACATAGTGGCTCTACCTCAATCTGTTTTATGTCTATATCGAATAATATAAGGTGAGAAGGTATTTCAGTTATTTTCTCAACTATAGAATAATTTCAAAATGAATAATAAGCAAACGCCGAGATTTTTTCCATGGTATTTAATACTGGAAAATAAAATAAGTATGGATTTTTACACAGAAAAATAACATTTTTAAATAAAACTATCTTTTCGGATTATTTCGCGGATTTATTTGGATGCTGTAAAGCACCAAAAAACAAACTAAATCCCCGAAATTATCCGAAAAGATAGTTTTATTTAAAAATGTCAAACATTCGCGTAAATCTAAGAAAGTAAGAAAGTATTAACAGAAAAATAAATTAAAGTTTTTATCAATCTGTGGAATTTCACAGTTTAAAAACTGTCGCCGCCTTCGCGAACGACTGAAAGAAAAGCAAACAAAATTTATCGCAAGATGGAATATTTCCTCTTTTCTCTATTTATTAGATGCATCACGTAGGTATTCCCGTTGCCATGACAACGCAAGGCGTCGGTCAAAGACCTCTCCGTCGCGACATCCGAAGTGAAACAAGAATGTTGAACTATTAATCTAAGAGAAGTTTAAATAAGGGTACATCGAAGGCTTAGCCTGAAAGTGGCAGACGTTCGTCAGACACCAACAAGAGCTCAACGGTTTTTAATTAAAAGTTAATTCATTAAAATGAATCTAAAATAATAAGTTATACGATCTGAAATTTTTTTATATACTTAAGTGAATGATAAAAATGTTAATTTAAATTTTCCATTATTTTGAATTGAATCCAAAAAAAATATATGAATAAAATGCATTGTTACAATAATTACAATGCAAAGTGCCATTGTAATCAATTGTAACTTTCAAAAAATGTATGGCAAATCAAAATCAATGCCCTTAATTAATTACGCTAAATAATAACAAGATACATACATGTTTATAAATTATTTTATAGTAAAAATAATTTAAAATGTTCACTTGAAAACAAAAGATGTGTTCATCAGTTTAACTTCAAGGCTCGTGTTGCCATGGTGACGTGTGTAGAGCCCTTCATGCTTTTAAATTTTTTTTTATTGCACGATAGGCTTGCGCTTGACTACAATCAGCGCTGGGAGGCACTGATGAGGTCTAGGTTGGAGCGCGCTTGCCTAGAAAAGCCTTGCCTTGCCTTTACTGGTCTATTACTTTTCTTATAATATAAAGTATAATAACTATGATCAAATAATATATTTGTATTCTAAAAATTAATACGAATCTAGTTATTCAATTAAAACTAAGTTTGGGACGCCAGCGAATGGTATTTTCAAGAGGGCATTTCCATTAGCTAAATTTCCAATATTCGCTGTCAGAACTTCAATACAAACTTTTCAATCATGGATTAAATTAATTCAATTCACTTCTGTCGTACAATGAAATCAATTTCGTTGAAGGATCAAGAAAAAGGAACTCAGGACAAGTCCGAGGATAAAACTTGAATATATAAATCTCCGGACTTGATCTCGAGATTTGTTTCGAATATACACTTAAAACAAATCCTTAGGGAGTCAACCCACATAAGGTTAGAATTAGTAGGGCTTATGGTTCTGAAAGCGTTTGTCCTTAAATTGATAGGACAAAGTACCGCCAGAGGGAAGTTTACTTTACCCAATGCTGTATTACACAGGTAAGTATGTGTGACTATGTAATGACGTTTCTACATAATACTTTCTTAGATTTACGCGAATATTTGACATTTTAAATAAAACTATCTCGTCGGATTTTTTCGCGGATTTATTTGGATTTTTGGTTCTCGTCGTTTCGAATGCTTTACAGCAATCATGG